TGTGCTAGGTGTTGGCTGAGCATGCTAACCAGCTGAGGCACTGAACCCTTCACACCCCATTTGTAAACTCTGCCACTGAAAGGCAGGAGATGGGCATCAAGACAGTCAATGGTCTACATGGTAGCAATTCTGAATACATAAAGACAGAACTTTTAGTATCTGCACAAACTTTAACGACAAAAAACTCAGAAGCCTTTAACTTTTCAGGTATCTTACAACCAGGGACTGTGAAGCTATCTGTTTATATCCCTTGTTGCTTCACTACACACTCTAAGAATCCATCAATCAAGTGTTAGCTCACTTAGGTCAGTACAGGGCAGAAGGGAGGGAGGGAAGATAGCACTGGTATTCATTATGAATCCCAGAACTATTAGTGTTGGAAGGGCTCTCTGGAGATCATCCAGTCCAACCCCTGCCAAGGCAGGGCCACCCACAGCAGGTCACACAGGAAGATACAAAAGGATAAGGAACAAGTGCTGGCAAATGACAATACAGTAAGCCATCCTAGGAATACCCTAGGAACACACCCATGAGAAATCCCCACTGCTTTCAGAATCACCTTCTGTAAGATCATTTTGCACAATTATTTTTCGCCACAGCTCTCACCACCTGCCTTCTGGACTACCTAACGCCCAATCTCATACACCAGAAAGCTCTCTTGGCTTTCACCAAATGTTTTTGTTTCCTCCAACTCCCACTCCCTATGCAACAACTCCACCTTCCCCAGAAGCTCTCACTCCCTCTCAAAATTACTCTAAAAACTCACTTTCTGAAAACATACCAGAAACATACCCCTGACTCCTGCCCACTTACTCACAGGTATCAGAATAATGTCTACGAGGAACAATCAGGAAGTCTGGGCTATGACAAATATATGTCATAAAAAGGATGCTGGAGAGGGACTCTGCATCAGGGACTGGAGCGACAGGACAAGGGGTGATGGGTTCAAACTGAACCAGGGGAAGTTCAGGTTAGAGCTAAGGCAGAAGCTCTTCCCTGTGAGGGTGCTGAGGCGCTGGCACAGGGTGCCCAGAGAAGCTGTGGCTGCCCCATCCCTGGCAGTGTTCAAGGCCAGGTTGGACACAGGGGCTTGGAGCAACCTGCTCTAGGGGAAGGTGTCCCTGCCCATGGCAGGGGGTTGGAACTGGATGATCTTAAGGTCCCTTCCAACCCAAACCAGCCTGGGATTCTGTGTCATGTCACTTTTTTCCCCCATAACCTCATTTTTTCTTAGGATGAGTCCTTGAAACCATGTTGCATACAGGAAGCTGCTACCTGGGATCAAATAGAAACCACTGCTCCTGAGTAGCTGAAAACTGGGCACACACTCCGCTACTGTTGGTACCCCATTCCACCACCATTACCTCAACCAGCTTGTCTGAAGGATGACCTGTCATTCAATGTATGTTTTTTCTACAGTACTTACTAATGATACTGGAAGAGGAAGGACAGGGCATACACATCACCGGCTACAGAAAAGTCACTAATTCTCTATGCACAGATAAGCAATTTGCAGGATTTATTCATGTCAATTCTTTAAGGTTCCTACACACCTACGAGCATATCCACATATCTGTTAGGAACATGGGACAAACGGACATAGGCAAGGTAACAGTACAACAGAATGAGGGATAAGCAAGTAAATCCTGCTCTACGTGTTCAAATAACTGAATTGTGGGATGAGGAATTCAGGGTTTTCTAAAACACCAACAAAATCAAAGAAATGGAGGTCAGAAGGGATCTGTGGAAGTCATCTAGTCCAACCTTCTACTCAAAGCAGGTCTATTGCCAGTACTAGAGCACATCAGCCTTGCCTTTATCTCCAAGGATGGGGGTTCCACAACCCCACTGGGTAAAACTTGGTCCAGGGCTGCAATACACTCCTGGCAAAAAAAGAACACTGTAGACTACTTGCAACATCTAATGAATTTCAAGTGACTTCTCCACCACTGAAGGTACAGGAAGGAAACATCCCAAGCTAGCGATTCCATCTAAAGAACAACAAAACCCACATTCATTTCACAAAATTACTAGCTCAGATTCTACTCAGAAATAACAAAACCATCCTAACACACACAGATATATGAACTACTAACTTCTAAGGTCTACATTTGAGCACTGCTCCATCTACCGTGACTAAAACCACAAGTCCAGTTTACTGCAGAGAGTTACACCTGAGAGTATTTTCACTGCTGAGCAAGCTGCTTTACAGATTTACACAGCCCAACAGTGCAGCATCTTTCAATTAATTCCCCACTGAATACCCAATAAAATACTTTAATGTCAACAGCATGAGATAGTTCTATGCTAAAATTCAGAATTTACATATGAAAAAGGTCAAAATCCACAGCTATTTCATTTGGTTTTCTAAAAGCCAAGTAAAGCCATAACAGAAACCTGCAATCTCAATACAAGTATCACTTACACTAGAGTTGGCGAAAATGGAATTTGAGTTGGCTACAGAATATTCTGCATTAGTCAAGTCTTCATTGCTCTGGTAAAAAAAGAAAAAAAAAAGACAAAAGTCATGGTTAAAATTGATACACTCACTGAAGCTTATGTATGTCTAACACACAGGAATGCTACTTACAGATTTACTGCTAGGTCCATGGAGGAAGTAATTCAGCGCCTGTGGGTCCCTTAGGGGGAGAAAAAAAACAGAAAGTAGAAGTTACCACTGTTAGGAAGCTCTTTCTAGAAGTAAGGCTAATGCAACTAAGATACTGTATTCAGATAGATCAGGCTTATGGTAAAAACACCTTGCACTGACTGCAACACAAAGCTGAGAGTTTCTGCCATGTGAGGATCTGTGTTTCTGTATCAGCAGTTTTCAGATGCTGATCTGATTTGTATTTCAAGCAATAAACTATGTCCATCACAAAATTTTAGCTGCATTCTACTTTACTTCCCTCTATGAGGGTATTACTCCTATTCTCTTCAAACACACAGTCTAACTGCACAGAGCACAAAACCTAAGGAAAATACTACCAAGTAACACGAGAACTAAACCAGGTACCTTTCTCTTCTAGAGAGATGAAGCATGCTGCCTTTTTATCTAGAGTCAATAGGGTATTTACAGACCTGACTCTTTAACATGTTTTCTGCCACCCTCGACATAAGTTAACAAGTTAAAATCAACCATGAAAATAACTGATTAAATAGTAACAAATACAATTTCAGGGTATTTCATTAACTTAGCACTATCATTGAACAAAACTCAGCTTTAGGATGTGGTCTGACAGAATGAATCTTGGAAATTCAAACAAAAAGATATTAATGTAACTGCACATATAAACCAAACAAAAAAAAAAAAACACATTTAAAGGTTGGATTACATAGGATCATTTTAATACAACAATAATACAGCATTTCCCAACATGTCCATTAGCATGAAGAGTAAAATGACATGGATTTTTTTATATTAAAACATCTTTATTGATTAACAAGTAATACTAAAACATTTTTGAGAAGCAGGAGATACTCATTATCTTACAACAGGACGAAGGGTAATGGTTATAAACTAAAAAAGGGGAGATTCAGGCTGGATGTGAGGAAAAAATTCTTTACACTGAGGATGGTGAAACACTGGCACAGGCTGCCCAGAGAAGTGGTGGATGCCCCATCCCTGGAGACATTCCAGGCCAGGCTGGATGCGGTTTCTGAGCAACCTGATCTAGGTAAAGATGTCCCTGCTCATTACAGGGGGCTGGAACTAGACGAGCTTTGAAGGTCCTTTCAAACCCAAACTATTCTGTGATTATATGATTCTCATGTAAATGAAGTATGAATTCAAGTAATTCTCTCCTCTCTTGATCATCCTAGAAAATAAAGAGGGAACAAGTTAAAGATATTTCAGGTTTACCACCAGTCATAAAACTACAAATACACCTCTATTTCTCTTTCATTCATTTAATAAGCAAGCTGCATCCACGTGTTTACAAAAGATGTGTTAGACAGTACTTGGGCAGGGACTTTTACACTTACAACATAGAAGTGGTTACAGATAAAGGAGACCAGAACTTGACCTCATATAGGGTCTATCATGCTTATGCTTCATGGGTTTAAACTTAATCAGGGGAGATTCATGTTAGATCTAAGGCAGAAGCTCTTCCCTGGGAGGGTGCTGAGGCGCTGGCACAGGGTGCCCAGAGAAGCTGTGGCTGCCCCATCCCTGGCAGTGTTCAAGGCCAGGTTGGACACAGGGGCTTGGAGCAACCTGCTCTAGTGGGAGGTGTCCCTGCCCGTGGCAGGGGGTTGGAACTGGAGGAGCTTTAAGGTCACTTCCAACCCAAACCAGTCTGGGATTCTATGATTCTGTGCTTACAAGCTTTATCAGTAAAGTAACAGGCTGTTTAATATTAGACTCACTGGCTTTAAATAATGAAAACAGCAATTAAAACTGAAGAACACTTCTTCACCTTAAATATTTAATAAGAAAGGAATTTTAGAAGGTACTTACCAAAATCAAAGATCAGGTGAAAAAAAAAAAAAGCTGGTTTCCATTCTTCTATATGCTTAAGACAATAACTGCTGCCAGCAGCAGGAAGAACGCTGTAATTTCTCACACAAACACTCATCTGTAGAGAGAGCACTTCATTTTCTGGACCACCTGTGAACTTGTACCAGGATCCTCACGATTCAGGCTCCTGACAGAGAATTTCATTGTCCCATGCAGTCAATTATCACCTTTCTGTTCCAAGCAGGATGTGTTTTCACATGGCTACAACCAGTGATCTTGCACAGGACACCTCAGAGCACAGAACCGTGAGCCATGACCGGTGAGGCTCTACTACAGCAGCCACTGATTAAGCCCCACATTAAAGCAGCCACTGTTGTGGGTTTGAAGTGAAAGCTCTCACTGGTTTCACTGGAAGCTTTGAGTGCATGAGGAAGGTAAAGGCCTATTTATTTACTACATTTAAGACTGTAAAAAATGCTTGTATGAAACCAAGATGATCTTGGTAGCTTCTCCAAGACTGATGTCAAACTCATTTCTGGCAGAGCTTGAATAAAGTATCATATATAAAGTGTTCAATTTTCTTATGTTTTTAATGCATTATAGCATATTAGCTGTTCTTGAACATTGACACCAATGTTAGCCAAAGGAATAAAACTTGTCACACATAATTCACAAATATTTTGCTCATGTTTCAGCTATCCTCATCATTTTTGAGGTTCCCATATGGAATTCTAAACCATATTCTGGAAATAATGAAACAACAAACACACACACACACCCCCAAACAAGCCAGGACCATTTAAAATCCCTAACTTTATTAAAATCAAGTCTCTTTGAGAAAACTGCTGATAAATCCAACCTCCATGCTCATTCCCTAGCCTCTCCTGAGGAGAATGCCTGCAAGTGGACTGTCAGCTAGTTAGTATAGACTGGGATTGAGGATTATGTGGTACACACATCTCCACATGGAGACAAAGCACAGCTGCTCATTTCATTTGGAAGACACCCACTCCTGAGATAATACTGAGACAGAATCACCTTCTATTTTTCCCAACTTTTTTGAAAGAATTGCTTAAGGAAAACTTACCCAATAAGATCAAGGAGACAGGATTCATCATCGTCATCATCCATGACAACTAGAACAAGAAGGGAGAGGAGGGATATTTGATACATATCAGACAAAAGATTGCCTTCAGCAACAAAACCAATTCAGACCGAGTATTTACTAAACTGTTTCTGAAGTAGACAGATGCCTACTATTGGCAAAGTTCTTAAACCTTCTGCAGAGGTCCACTGATTAATGTCAAAATCAAATTCGTGGAATGACGCACAAAATCCCACGCAATGTTTTACCACTGAGGGGTACTTTTAGATTTTAAACTGGAGAAAGACAAATGCTGAAACCATACTGGTTAAATAGAGCTTCTGTGACTTAAAGAAAGTAGCAAAAAAATCAACACTGAAGGCCATCTCAAGACTCCAATCAAAATACTCCTACAGGAAGGTACTCCCAGCTAATCCCAGAGAAGGAATAATCAAACGTAACAGAACCTACGAAGACTGTTGCAAATGAATGGCTACAATACTGACCAGCCAAAATGGTGAACAAATTTAGGTCAGCATCATGACCCAAATGGTATAGGCTAGAACTTGAACTACAGCCAAGTCATTACAAAGCATTCAAATAAGCACTTTTTGTAGCAGACCTTTCCCAGCTATTGCTATTGACAACATGGCCACAAGGAACAAGTGACAGGACACAAGGAAACAACCTCGAGCTGCGGCAAGGGAAGTTTAGACTGGATGTTAGGAACAATTCCTTCCCCAGTGGCTCCTCAGGCATTGGAACAGGCTGCCCAGGGCAGTGCTGGAGTCACTGTCCCTGCAAGAGTTAACACACCATGTAGATGAGACATGGGTTAGTGGTGGCCTTGGCAGTGCTGGGGCACAGCTGGACTTCATGATCTTTGCCAAGGTCTCTTCCAACCTCATTGATTCTATGAAGTTTCTTCTGAACAAGACTCAGAAGTGAACTTGTGTTTAATCGAACAGAGTTTTGAACCTTTTTACCAAGGGTGGGCTTCATTAGCATTAGCCAAACTGAACGTAAGCAGCCATTGACTGGGTGCAGAGCATTTTTAGCCTCACGGTATCATGAAAACCAACACTTCTACACACTGCCTACTCCCTCAGCTGCTGCCTGTACAAACACATTCCATCACTGTGCCTTCAAATCTTCTGTTTGCATATCCTGGTTCTCCCATTCACTTTAACTCTCACAATGCCATCCGAGACTCTACCTTCTCGCTTTTCTCTGTCAATAACTCTGTCAGTTTCTCTGTCAATAACTTTCAGGACCAATTTATCCTCCCTTATTTTCTCTGTAAAGATCCCATCTAACCCACCAGTTCAATTATCAACTGCTGCTAGCATTTCCTAAACCTCATGGTACCCTGGCTTCTACTTAGCTACCCAATTTCGTCTTCAGAGTTATCTTCTAATCACATCAAATTGGTCACTGTGCATTCCATGCCTGGGTGTTTTCTCAACTTCCCTTTAACAGTCTGCTATCGTATTTATCCCTCAAATTTACTAATGTAAATCCATTCATTCTGTACCCTCTCTTACTTCTTGTCAAACAGAAACTTACTCTCCCTGACCAGACCTACAAGAGTCATTCTTCAGGTTCTCCCTCAGAGACCTCCAGAATGATTAAGACAATGAAAGGACTGGAGCATTGGTTATACAAAGAGGCTGAGAGCAGCAGGACTGTTCTGCCTGGGGAATAGGAGGCTATGGGGGAATCTTCTCTGTGTGTATAAATACCTGGTGGGAGGGTATAAAGAAGACTGAGCCAAACTCTTCTCAGTGGTATCCAGTGAACAAACAAGCAGCACAAATCAAAACAACAACAAAACATATATTTAAACATAAGAAAAAAAAATTGTTTGTGGGTTTGTTTTGTCTTAATTCTGAGGGCAGTCAAATACTGACACAGGTTTTCCACCAAGGTTATGGACTCTCCTTCCTTGTTGATATCCAGAACCCAGGTGGACCACAGCCCTGAGCAAGCGGCTCTGGCTGAGCCTGCTGGGGTCAGGAGGCTGTATGAGGTGATCACCAGACCTCTCTCCCCACCTCAGCTGCCCTGTGATTCTGTAACCTCTTCCCTGATGCTTATCTATACTCCACTGATTTTGAAACTAGTTTGTACTTCAGCCTAGCAGAGGGGACCCTGTACTCCACACTGCATAGCCTCATTCAGCTTTTTTCCTTCCCTCTTCTGTGCTCTAGTTTACAGCAAGGGTGAAGCAGAACCGGAGCATACATCACTGTAAGGATCCCTCAGTATGACCTCTCTGGGAGAACAGGAACATAAAGCACAGCTACCGAGAACTACCTCAGATCTCAACAAAATCCGCATCCAGGAGGCGATCACACATCTTGAGAGAATTATTCTCTCATGGTTCAGTATTACATCCGCTCCCTGCTGGATACAGTCACCAGCATGAGCACTGACCTTACAACTTTATGCTAAGTAAGTAACAACATTCTATGTCACAAAATCTAAATGTAAATGTGCAACAGTAAGAACAAACGAGTAAGTGCTTAGCATTAAGCGATGAGCACTCTGCTTTAACTGCACTGTTAGCACAGCTTACAGAAGGCTGCGATCTCCTCTAACAGCTATCAGCATACGGACCTCCAGAGCAAGGTTACAGACTCCAAGACAACCAAAAGTAAAAATCAGCTTTACAGAAAGTGAACATCTTTGCTCTCATGCTGCAAGCCTACTGTTGAAAATTCCATCCCATGTGTCTATGGCAATACTGACATTATTTAAATAAAATAGCACATCTTTGCTTTCCCAAACCAAATATCTGCTGTGATTATACCACAGTAAGGGTTCAACATTATCCAAAATGACCATGCAGGATTTTGTTCAATCAGTACTCATGGGGTATTAGAACTACCAACTCAAAGTAGACACATCTGGTACATTCACTAAATTCTTTAAAACCTGCATATAACAGAAAATAAATTGCATGAAAACACCAAGAAGAGACAGCCTTGATGGTAACACATAACCTTCATTCTTCATCCCTTTAGTCAAACATGCAGTTGGCTTTATTAGAAGAAAAATCATTTGTTGGGTCTTAGCATTTCACAAACATGATACAAGACAAATCTACTCAGCACATTGCAAGCGCCTACCAGATTACAACAGACAGTAAAATCCAAAGAAAACAAACACCAAGAATCACAGCGAGTCCCCTCCATAAGTGCATCTTCCCATAGCTTTAACAACATTCCTGCCATTGCTAGCAGGATTCTAAACACACAGGAAAAAGCAATTATGCCAGCTTTTTTTCTTCAATGCTGGTTTACCAAAGAGGTCATCTGTATAAAACCATCACCAAGTTCTCCTACAGCTTAGCCATCACAGAGGCATGAACAGAAGAAAGTGTAGTAGCCTAAATGCTTCTGCACCTTGGAAACTGCAAGTAAAGCACAGACATATCACTGCCACATCAATATCCCCACACAATGGTTAGAAAACACTACACTAAGGTGATGCTGCATGGCGGTGCTGCTGCGAAACACCATGGGACCAACACACAATCTAAACAGCACGTACAGGGGTGTGTGGTCTGTCAAAGAGCACTCAAGTCCACAACCAAGCCACCAACTTACCTATTTAAACTAAATTCTGTTCCTATTTTGCCACACATACCCATAAACTGAAACACAACAAGTGTCACCTCAACATGAGGAAGAACTTCTTTACGTGAGGGTGGCAGAGCACTGGGACAGGCTGCCCAGGGGGGATGTGGAGTCTCCCTCTCTGGAGACATCCCAAACCCGCCTGGGCACAGTCCTGTGTGACCAGCTCTGGGTGGCCCTGCCTTGGCAGGGGTTGCACTGGATGATCTCCAGAGGGTCCTTCCAACACTAACCATTATGTACTAACCACACAACTCCATGCTGGTTCAATCCAGCAGGCAGCTAAACATCACACAGCCATTCGCTCTCTTCCCCCCACCCTCAGTGGGATGGGGAGAGAGTGAGAAATAAAGGTGGGTTTAATACAGTAAATAAAGTAAGAAATAAAGCTTGTGGGTTGAGATAAAGATGCCTTAAGAGGACAGAAAAGGAGGGGAAAATAGTAATAATCGTGAAAGAATATATAAAACAAGTGATGCACAACACCATTGCTCACCACTCTCTGAAATGCCCAGCCAGTCTCCAAGCAGCAGGCCATCCCCCAGGCAAGTGCCCCAGCTTCACTGCTCAGCATGACATCACATGGCATGGAACACTCCTGGCGTCCCCTCCCGGCTTCCAGTGCACCCCCAGCCTCCGCGCTGCCGGCGTGGGGTAAGAGATGGGTTGTCCTTGATGCTGTATAAGCTCTGCTCAGCAGCAACTGAAACATCAGTGTGTTATCAGCATTATCCGCAGACTAAAGCCAAAACACAGCACTGCACCAGATACTAGGAAGCAAAATTAACTGTGTCCCACCCGAAACCAGGGCAATCTTTTTAACTCATCCCAATTTTCAGTGAGTATGTGTCCTGTCAACTTCAGAACAGCAACAGAGGTGCACAATCAGACCAAGTCTGTGCGCACCCAAAAGCAACAACTCCTTCAGTCTATTTAGAAAAGAAACTCCAGCAACATGACACCTTGACAGAGATGATCCCTAACACATTTTCTAGAGCACAACTGCCAGAGGAGTTTGCTGCTTTTCTTGCTGACTATCTCTTCAGGTTTTCTATACCCAAGTTACATAAATTCTGTCCCCGTCACTGTTAACAGAGTCGGCTAAATCAGTGATCGATGTATAAAATCGATATATAAACCACACTAAACCCAAGACAGTTTGAAAATACAACTCAAAACAGTGAGTGGAATTAAAGGATTAGAGTTACACAGCCTAGACCAGTGGTCTCCAAAGTGCACAAGACAATCCAATATTGGGGTGAGGGAAGAAAATACCAGAACTTCAGTAGTACATATACGTAATTGGGAAATAAATACACATATATTGGGGGTGCACACCCAAAAAAACTTTTAGTACTAGGGATGTGCAGTCAAAACCTTTTGGAGACCACTGGCCCAGACTCTTG